CAGTTAGTGGCAATAAGGCTGGCAAGGGAGCAGTTAGGCATCAATCAGGCTGGAAGGGGAATGGTTAGGGGGTGATCAGGCTTGCAGGCAGAAGTGGTTAGGGGCAATCAGGAAGGCAGGCAAGTGAGCAGTTGGGAGCCAGCAGTCCTGGATTGTGAGAGGGATGTTTGGCTTCCCGTTTAGGCCTGATCCTACCTAGGGGACCCAGATTGGAGAGGGTGCAGGCTGGGCTAATGGACACACACCCTCATTCACAAATTTTGTGCACTGGGCCTCTAGTTTATAAATAATATTATTTAACAAACTGAATTTCTACTTCCATAAATTACTTCATCTTGCAATGGATTATTTGAAAATCTAAAAATTCATTGATATTGTTGGATCCTCAATTCAAAACACAGAAAAACACAAAGATAGTAATATGAAAATTGTTTGAGAAATTCCAAAACTCTTGCTAATGTATTCTGATGTCTATTAAGATCTATGGACAGGTTTTATTTATTTATTTTTGACAGAAATCACCTTATACTAAATTCCAACTAAAACAATATTATCAGACGCACACTTAAATGTTATTAGAAACCACTTTCTAATTAGTGTAGATTAGAGATGAATATACTGTTGGTGCCCATGAATGAAAGGGGAGAAGGGTGGAAAAAATATTTTTTTCTCCCAGTTTATCCTTCTCATCCTTATGCACTGAGGGATAAAATAAATATAAACATATCATGCCATTCTGAAAGTTTGCCATCCCCTGTAGTATACAGCAATTACATTGTTTTGTATTAATATAAGTAAATTAGAGACCCAGTGTATGTATTTGTGCACAAGTTAGGGTTCCTCGGCCTGGCCTACTGATTGCAAGAGTGTGCAATAATTATCACAGTCAAGATCTCATCCTGGATTGTTAGTCAGAGGAAGCTGTCCCTTCCTCTCTGAAATCAATAAAAATATATTAAAAAACAAAAAAGCTGAGCTGAAGTGAATGGCACTTCACTTTTTAATTTTTTTAATTTTTACTAGTTTAAATTGTTTTTTATATTTTAAATTTTGTATTAGACCTTATTTTATTTTATATTTTTAGCACATTTTTCTGTCTCATTTCTTTTTTTCCTCATTTTTTTCTCCTTTCCCCACTTTAGTTTTTTTTTTTTTTCCTTTCTGGTTTTTCTTCTTTTCAAAAATGGATATTCTTTATCTCCCTTATTGATGTGTTATTATTTTAGTCTCTGATGTCTTATTCATATATTTAATTTCCCCTTCTCTTTTATTTTTCTTAATTTTACTCTCTTCTCTTGCTCTTTTCTCCTAATTTTTTAACTTGTTTTACTTTCTAAATTTAGTCCTCTTTGCTCTCTCCACTGTTCTTGTTTTCTCATTTATTTTCTCCCTCCTCTATTCTAAACTGTGGTCCCTCCCCTATTCATATAATTCCTTAACCTTATTTTGTCTACTTAATCTCTGTATCTAAAGATTCTGTGCTCCCCCTCCCCCTGCTTTTTTACTGGGTATCTTTAGTTTGTGCATTTTTGTTCATTTGTTGGTTTGGCTGTGTTTTCTACCCATATTCTTTCTTTTTCTTTCTATCATTATTGCTCTCTTTTCTCTTTCATAATCCACTTTTCTCTGATGGTCACTTTTATTGGAGTTATAGGTATCTTGTGTACATTTGTGTTCTGTTCCTTCTGTGTTGTGTCTTGTAATATTGTATTTACTTCTATTTGGTCAGAACTTGCACAATGGTTGGCATGACATGGCACATAATGAGCCACATAATAAGACACCCTGAAAGGATACTCCATCCATGAATAGGACAAAAACTTTCAAGACACAACTACATCAATAGAACCTAAATATTTCAAGTAGTTTGCCTCCCTATAAGACCTGATAGAATGCACTTCTGGGTGCCACAAAACATCTACTACATAAGACTAATTTAAAAAATCTGGGTGGCATAGCAATTTGATGTAATATATAGAAACAATTACAAAGGAATAAAAATGGGAGACAAAGAAACAATCCCCAAATGAAATAAAAAGGAGGAATCACCACAAAAGGAACTAAATAAAATGGAGGTAAGTAATGTATCAGAGTAATAATTCACAATAATGATTATAAGGATGCTCAAATGTCCAGATGAGGAATTTACCAACATGTATAAAAATCAAGAAGAAATTAAGAATGACATAGCTGCAATAAAGTACACAATGAAATATTTCAGCAATAGGCTAGATGAAGCTGGAGACAGAATCAGTAAGATAGAAGACAAGGTAGAAAAAAAACAACAACACTAGAGCAGAGCAACAACTGGAATAAAAAATTAAAAAGCAGGAGAAGAGTCTAAGGCAGCTCTGGGACAACACAAAATGAAACAACATCTGCATAATAGGGATCACAGAAGGAGAGGAAGCTGAGCAAGAAGTATTAAATCTTTTTTTAATAAATAATGACAAAAAATTATCTGATTTTGGGAAGAAAAAAAAATCACATAGGTGCAAGAAGCACAGAGTCCCAAATAAGATGAACCCCAAAAGACACCAAGACACATCGTAAACAAATTGGCATATGTAAATGACAAAGTAAGAATCTTAAAGGCTACCAGAGAGAAACAGAAAGTTACCTACAAGGAACTTACATTAGCTTATCAACTGATTTAGCAACAGAAATATGTAAGGCCAGAAAGGAATGGAATTAAGTATACCAAGTGATGTAAAGCAAAAGACTGAATCCAAGAATACTCTGTCAGCAATGCTCTCATTAAAAATTGAAGTGGAAATCAGGAGATTTTCAGACAAATAAAGGCTAAGGGGATTTATTACCACCAAGCAAGCAATACAAGAAAAGTTAAAGGGACTGTTGTAAAAAGAAGAAATTGAAAGGGAAGAAGGAACACAGGGATAAACAATAAAAATGGCAATGATTACCTATCAATAACAACCTTAAAAGTAAACGAAATAAATTCTCCAATCAAAAGACATAGGGTAGATCCAGGTCAAGATGACAGCAGACAGGACAGCAGTGATGGAGAGAGTATGAATGAGTGAGGGAGCAAAAGGGAAGCGGAGAGCTTCTGTAACTAGGAGCCCACCCTTAACACCACCCAGACTTTCCTCAGACACCATACCAGACCCTATATCTACTACAACCTAAAACCTGATACCTCATCTCAAGACCCACAGATACTGGGACTTGAGCCTCCCCAGAGTGGTCTCCCCTCCCACCAACATATCACTTCAGCCACAGGCCTGGTGCTACCTGGTGCCTGGATCATTTTGTGAGTCTCCGAGTGCATGACACTCCAGCCAATCCCACAACTTCAGCTACAGGTCCTGTGTGACCTGGTGCTTGGGCCATACAGTGACTCTCAGAGTGTGCTACCTTCCTACCAAGCCTCCTGCTTCAGCCACAGGCCTTATGGCACCCAGCACCAAGTCCATCCGGTGAGAGTCAAAATGGGGAGACAAAGAAACAACCCTCAAAGGAAAGAAAAGGAGGCATTATCAGAAAAGGAATGAAGTGAAATGGAGCCTGCAATATATCAGAAAAAGAATTCAGAGTAAGGGTCATACACTTCCTAAAATGCCTGGATGATATATTCAATAACTTATTTAAGAATCAAGAGGAAATTAAGAATGATATAGGTATAATAAAAGCCCAATGAAAAGTTTCAACAGTAGACTAGAAGAAGCAGAAGACTGAATTAGCCAGTCAGAGTGGAAAAATACAATCTGAATAGCAATTGGAGAAAAAATTAGAAAGCAAGATGAGAGCCTAAGGGAGCCTTGGGACAACATAAAACAGATTAACATCTGTATTATAGGACAGAAGGACAAAAATTAGAGCAAGGTTTAGAAAACCTAATTGAAAAAAATGACAAAATTTCTCTGATTTTGGGGAAGAAAAAATCTACATAAGTAGAGATGGTCCTAAACAAGATGAACCCAAAAAGACCTGCACTAAGACAAGTCATAATTACAATGGCAAATGTTCACGACAAATAGAAAATACTAAAGGCTGCAAGAGAGAGACAGAGAGTTACCTACAAGGGATCTCCCATTACATTAACAAATGATTAATCAACAGAAACACATAAGGCCAGAAAGGAATGGAATGAAGTATACAAAATGATTCAAAGGAAGGGGTTGAATCCAAGAATACTGCATCCAGCAAGGCCATTATTCAAAATTGAAGGGAGAATCAGGAGATTTTCAGACAAATTAGGGCTAAGGGAGTTTATCACTACCCAGCCAGCAATGCAAGAAATGCTAAAGGTACTATTGTAAAAAGAAGAAATGGAAAGGGAAGAAGAAACACAGGCATAAAGCATAAAAATTGCAACAACGAAGTACCTATCAATAATAATTTTAATGTAAATGGATTAAATGTTCCAATCAAAAGTCAAAAGGTGGCTTAATGGATAAGAAAACATGGTCCATATATTTGTTGTATACAAGAGGCCCATCTCAGAAAAAGGGGACTCACAGAGACTGGTAGTGAAGGGATGGAACAACAAATATCCAGGCAAATGGAAATTTAAAAAAAAAGCTTGGGTAGCAATATTTATATCTGACTAAATATACCTCAAAGTGAAGGCCATAACAAGAGATAAAGAAGGCCACTTCATAATCCAACATGGATCAATACAACAAGTGGTTATAACTCTGGTAAACATATATTCACCAAATATAGGAACATGTAAATACAAAGAAATACTTCTGGAGAATATCAAAGGAGAGATTGACAGCAATACAATCATAGTATGGGGACTTAAGGCCCCAATTGACACCAGTGGATAAATATTCTAGACCAAAAAAAAAAAAATCAACAAGGAAACAGCAGTACTAAATTATACTTTAGAACAGGTGGAACTACTGATATTGTCAGAACAGTCCAACCCAAATCTACAGAATATGTATTCTTCTCAAGTGCACATGAGACATTTTCAAATATAGACCACTTGTTCTCAAAGAGATTCTGAATACTTCAAAAAACATATTTAGGTGTTTGCTTTAGTGACACATATGCTAACATTAGAACAATATAGAGAAATCTGGCAAGGGTCCTGTGAAAAGATAAAATGCAAATTTGTAAAGCATTCCATATATTTTAAATGTTTTTATTGATTTCAGAAAGGAAAGAAGAAATAGAAACATGAATGATAAGAGAGAATCATTGAGCAGATGCCTCCTGCATGCCCTCTACTGGGGATTGAGCCTGCAACCCAGGCATGTGCCCTGACGGTGAAATAGAAGGCCTCCTGGTACATGGGTTGGCACTCAACCACTGAGCCACACCAGCTAGGTGCATTCCATATTCTTTCCATGACGGTTGTGTACAACAATGAGCATGGGCTTAGTGTCACTAAGCTGTATACTAAAATGGTTAAAATGGCAAATTTTATGCTATGCATATTTTATCACAACAAAAGGAAACATGTTTGGTCAAGTCAGCAATCACCTACAATCAAAACTGATAACAAGAATATAAAAGAAGAAAAAGATAATTAGCTTCTAATATACTGCCAAGTTAGTGAGTTTTTTTTTTCTTCCACAGTTGTTCATAGAAAATATTTAAGTTTCAGTTCAAACATGTTAACCAAATTTTGTCTGTGTCTATGAGTTTTTGTTTTTCCTGTTTGTTCATTCATTGCTTTCGGATTTATGTCCCAAATATGAGTGAAATTATAGGTTTCTTAACTTTTTCTGTCTGTCTGTATGGTGGTTACCAGAGGAATTAAGTATACAAAGTAATGGCCATCTTGTGGTGGCCATCTTTTGTCCATATGGTGTGGGGGTAGTAAAAGGTAATGGGGCCAATTATATGGTGTCAGAATATGATTTGACTTTGGATAGTGGGCACACAATGCCATATACAAAATGATGTATCATATAAATGTACACTTGAAACGTATATCATTTTATTATCATAGAAATGTACATTTGAAACCTAAATAATATCACCCCAATAAATTTAATTTAAAAACATGTTAGGTAAAAATTATATTTTGAAATGTGCTAGACTGTAACAATGGTGTCAATAAGCATCCTATCCTATATAATAAAAGGCTAATATGCAAATTGTCCCCTGGGGAGTTCAACAGACCAGAAGTTCGACTGCCTGCTGTAATGTGTGCTGACCATCATGGGGTGGTGCGCAACAAAGGAAGGCCCCAGATGGCAGCTGGAAGGCCCCAATTGGCCCTGATTGCTGGCCTGGCCTGGGGACCTGACCCATGCACAAATTTTGTGAACTGGGCCTCTAGTGCATATAATAAAATATATATCACCTGCACTATAACTTTATATAAGCAAATGCCCACAGAAGAAAGCTGAAAAAATACCAGTTCTTTAACTGAATTCATTTTTGACTTAAAAATCAATAGTAACAGTAATTGATCAAACTTAAGCCTATATTTGGATGATTTGGCATTGCTATGCATTAGGTATCGCCAATAAATAAAAAAAGAGTGATAGAATACATAAGCATTACCAGCATTAATAAGAAATAAAGACAGAAAAACTTAGCTAAACTCAAATACATAAGAAAAAATTAAGAAAGCTTCTAGATTAGAAAGGAAATTGAATTTGCTAAATATATTTTGGAATATGCATTTTATACAATCAAATATTTAGAAGGATATACTTTAAGACTTCTCACCAAGGATATTAATATTAAAAAGTGATCAATGATTTCTGTCTTCACTGTTTGTTCTGCTTACTGTAGCTATCAGACTTGTATTTCTTCTGTGTTTTGAAAAGCTGGTTTTAAGAAGCCTTTGTGGAAAACCAGCAACACATCCTAAAATCAGTTTAAATAAAATATATATTTTTAGAGGCAAATTCAAAATATTAATTTCCTTTTCATTTTCTGTTTAAAATAGAATAAATGGAAGATTGGTCTCAAATTAAAAATATCTTTTGCTCTAAAATTAAGCTGTAATGCTAACTTCTATGTAGCAGCTAATGAAAATTTAAATGAATTTTGTACTTGTTCAAATGCATCAAACTGCCCTTAAGAGAATATTAAATATTTATAATAAACCTCCTTTCAGAAATGTAATTGGCTTCCTGAAGATCACTGACACTCAACACTCATAGATTTTAAGTAGCTGGTCTTCCCTTGGATATACCATATACCGATAAGTGCCAGAGATTCAACTGTGCAATCAATTCTCCACTCTCTGGATAATAGCTTTCAAAAGTTGCCATTTTTTTTGTTGTTCCAGAGAACTCCTACAATTATTCTATGTTTTTTTTATTTTTTTCATTAAACATTATGACATTTTGCATTCTAAATAATTATATACTACATAAAAAGAAAAAAAAATCCAACAAAACATGTAAAAATGCTGATTGGTCAAAATTGCATTTTAAATAATCTACATATTGAAGATAATAAAGGGTATCCTATATAATAAATGTAGTATGTAAATTTTCCCCTCAACTGGCAGGTCATCTAGGAGTTCTACCAGGGGTGGGGCCAGCCAGGGGAAGGAAGGGAGGCCCCAGCCGGCAGCCAGAAGCTTCAAGGAACCCAGTGAATTTCATGCACTGGGCCTCTTGTCTTATATAATAAAAGAGTAATATGCAAATTGACTGTACCTCTGCTACACCAACAAGCCATGACCACCAGGCAATCAGGAGAGAATATGCAAATTAACCCAACCAAGATGGCTGTGACCATAGAGAGAGAAAGAGGCTTGGGTTTCCCCAGCAATGCAGAATTGGAAGCCCAGGCCTCCCCTCAAGGCTACAAAGTTTCAATTATAGAAGATAAATAAATCCCAACAAATATGGCAGCAGCCACAGAGCTGGAGAAATCAGGAGGCTTGAGTAAGCCCCCACAATGGAGGAAGCCAAGCTTTCCACCTGCCCTGGCCTGCCTTGGCCTCTGATTAAGGCTACAATGTTCCAATTATGGAAGATAAATAAATCCCAGATTCCAGGGCCTCCACTTGGGTCCCTGGGGGGCATGGCAGGCCTGCAAACCACCACAGGCCCCTTTCCCAGGCTGCCTCACACCCCAAGGGAACCTCCACCTAGATCTGGGACACCTTTCAGGGCAAACCAGCCGGCCCCCACCCCTGCACCAGGCCTCTGTCCTATCTAATCCTATCTAATAAAAGAATAATGTGCAAATTGACCACACTCCAACACACAAGATGGCTGCCCCCATGTGGTTAAATATGGCTGCCCCCATGTGAACAAAAGATGGCCACCACAAGATGGCCAGCAGGGGAGGGCAGTTGGGAGGGACCAGTCCTGCAAGGAGGGCAACTGGGGGTGATCAAGCCTACAGGGGAGGGAAGTTGGGGACAAACAGGTTGGCAGGGGAGCAGTTAGGTATCAATCAGGCTGTCATGGGAGTGGTTAAGGGGTGATCAAGCTGGCAGGCAGAAGTGGTAAGAGGCAATCAGGAAGGCAGGCAGATGAGGAGTTAGGAGTCAGCAGTCATGGATTGTGAGAGGGATCCCATAGTGGAGAGGGTGCAGGTACACACCCCCATACATGAATTTCATACAACGAGCTTCTAGTATTGTAGTATATAATATCAGGAAAAATCTCAGAAAATTTTAAAGATAGTGTTTGTCTAGTCCAAATTGTTTTGGAAAAATATTGCACAAGGAATCAGAAAAACTAGATATTAAAACCTGATTTTCTTATAGCTAATTATATTCCTCTTTTAATCACTTTATCTTCTCTCAAAATCAATTTTATTTTCCTTAAAATGAGGTTCAAGGAAGCAATCAAGATATCCTTCAATAGGTGAATAAATAAATAAACTGTGGTATATCCAAACAATGAAATATTATTTAGCATTAAAAGAAAATGAGGCACAGTGCAATATAACAGATCTTGTAACATAGAAATCCACACACCAAACCTATATGTTCATGGCGACCATTGTCACCCCTACCAATGTAATCAATAAATAAAGCCTTTGCTGTTTTGGCTCAGTGGATAGAGCATCATCCTGTGGACCAAAGGGTCTCGTGTTCAATTCTGGTCAAGGGTTCGATTCTTGTCAAGGGCAGGTACCTGGGTTGTAAGATCCTCCCTGGCCTGGACCCTGGTCAGGGCATGTGCAGGAAGCAACCAATCAATGTGTTTCTCTCACATTTATGTTTCTCTCTGTCTTTTTTATTTATTGATTGATTAAGGTATTATATAAACCTCAGAGGGAAGACAGGGGAAAGTGAGGGGAAGGGGAAGAGATTAACCAAAGGACTTGTATGCTTGCATTAAGCATAGCCAATGGACATAGACACTGGGGAGGTGAAGGCATGAGCAGGGGGTGTGGGGAGCAATGGGGGAATAAAGACACATATGTATTACTCTTAAATTTTGCATTAATTGGTGCCTGCCACAGTAGTGGGTGGTGGTGCCCAGGGAATGACTATAGAATAACCAAATGGATGCTGTGAATGGGTGCCACCGGGATGAAGAAAAACGGCTACTTCCCCAATACTAGTAATTGTGCATGACTTTCTAGTAGTAGGTATGTTATGCATTATCTTCGCAATCACATTCTGCCTGAACTTCTTGCCATGATATAATAACAAATGTAAGAACTGGGCAAAGACAGAGATGGTTCACTAAAACACTGATGGTACCAATAGTTCTGTAGTTGTTACTCTCTTTCACTGTGATGGTGCCATTCTTTATCAACTGCTTAGGCTTATGTTATTCATCAAGCATCTGTTTTAAAAAGCAAACAATATGTTATGCTGAACATAATTATGTGAAAATTTTTGCAACAGAGCTTGTCTTTTCAGTTTAAGAAGCACATGAAGTTAGCAGTACTTATATTGATATGAAAGTAGGAATTAACTTATGGCCACTTATCAGAGGCTTCCATTTGTATAATATTTAAGGAAATGGGACTGATTATTTTATTAAATTTAAAACTTTTAAGAGATTAATTCTAAATCTTCAGAAAACAAGAGATAAGGTAGAAAGTCTTAATTATGCCCACTGATAATAATTATATTACACTATATGCTTTGAGATATAAATAGTGATAACTATGTCTCTACTAGCTATCTGTATGTATAATCACTTAAAGATACCTGAAACAACCATCAACATGAATATTTATTATATAAGT